CATCATCATTACAATTACCTAAGCCAAATCGTCAATCCAGTCATGGTCATAGTCATACTCGTAGTCACAGTTTATCATAATTCATTACAAAGAGAGGTTCTAGGTTCAGTCCTCAAATGCCACATTCCAGAGCCAGGTTTTTAGTAATTTCCTGAACGTCAGGAGGGAGGGGGCCGATCTGATCTCTAGTGGGAGGGAGTTCCAAAGCCGGGGAGCCACCACCGAGAAGGCCCTGTCTCTCGTCCCCACCAACCGTGATTGCGAGGGTGGTGGGACCGAGAGCAGCCCCCCCCCCGGAAGATCTTAATAGCCTTGATGGTTCATAGGGGAGAATCCATTCGGACAGGTAAACTGGGACAGGTAAATCATCAACCTGCAAAGGTTGTGGAAAATGAAAACGCAGAAATGAACACTTCAGACTTCTCTGGGACTTTCAAATCCAGTCTGACAAAGTTTTGGAACACAATACACCAGACATCACGAGTGTGGAAAAGAACAAAGTTTGGATTAATGATGTCGCCATACCAGGTGACAGCCGCATTGAGGAAAAACAACAGGAAAAAATCAGCCACTATCAAGACCTCAAAATTGAACTGCAAAGGCTCTGGCATCAACCAGTACAGGTGGTCAAGTGATAATCAGGACACTGGGTGCCGTGTCAAAAGATGAAACCCGGCATTTGGAAACAATAAACATTGACAAAATCACAATCTGTCAACTGCAAAAGGCCACCTTACTTGGATCTGTGCACATCATTTGAAAATCCATCACACAGTCCTAGACGCTTGGGAAGTGTTCGACTTGTGATTTTGGATACAAAATCCAGCATATAGATCTCATTTGCTGTGATATGCTGTGTTTTCGTGTCAGTAAAATAATAATAATAACTTTATTCTTATATCCCACACCCATCTCTCCGAAGAGACTCGGGGCAGCTTACATGGTGACCAAGCTCGGTAAAAACAGAAGTAAGAAATAACCATTAAAATACATTACATTTTAATAATTAAAACAATAAGACCGAGCAACAGACATTATTAAAACTTAAGAACACCAATAAGCATCAACCAGAGGCCAAGAACACTGGGCATCGAATCACAGAATCATAGAGTTGGAAGATACCTTGTGGGCCATCCAGTCTAACCTTTCTGCCATGAAAGGAGATTCCACCTGAACATTAGGAAGAACTTCCTGACTGTGAGAGCCTTTCAGCAGTGGAACTCTCTGCCCCGGAGTGTGGTGGAGGCTCTCACAGTCAGGAAGTTCTACTTCATATTCAGATAGAATCTCCTTTCCTGTACTTTGAAGCCATTGTTCCTAGTCTCCAGGGCAGCAGAAGAAAAGCCTCCTCCCTCCTCCCTATGAATTCCCCTCACATATTTATACATGGCTCTCATCATGTCTCCTCTCAGCCTTCTCTTCTGCAGGTTAAACATGCCCAGCTCTTTAAGTTGCTCCTCATGGGGCTTGTTCTTCAGACCCTTGGGGTACTCTGAATCAGAAGCACCAGTCTAACCTCTTTCTGCCAAGAAAGGAGATTCCATCTGAACGTGAGGAAGAACTTCCTGACTGTGAGAGCTGTTCAGCAGTGGAACTCTCTGCCCCAGAGTGTGGTGGAGGCTCCTTCTTTGGAAGCTTTTAAACAGAGGCTGGATGGCCATCTGTCAGGGGTGATTTGAATGCAATATTCCTGCTTCTTGGCAGAATGGGGTTGGACTGGATGGCCCATGAGGTCTCTTCCAACTCTATGAGTCTATGATTCTATCTGAGATCAGCATCACCATTTGTGGCCCTTGGAGATAGGCCCTCAGCCTCAGGAAATGGCAAACCTCCTCTCAAGAAACATCTCCAAGAAGGTTAGCCTTGTTGTTGCCACCAGTTGGAAAGAATTTGAAGTCACAGAGCAGCCAATATTTAAGTCCCAGCAAAACCCTCTCAAATGCTCCCCTGCTAATCATCAACACAAGAAGCCATCAAATTGCAAGTTCTTCATTTTGTTGTGTTTGGGGCCTTTTCAGAATCCTTCATCTCTAAAGCTGTTGTTTCCTGTTTGAAATCTGCCCAAGAAGAGCAGCAGAATTCGTGTATCTGATGCTGGACGCGCTGACCGTTTCCGTTTACATCTTCGCTGATGTTGGAGAGCATTCCTTCCCAGATTAATAACAAAAGGGAAAACAAGGACTTCATGCCACGAGATGCTTGAACTATAAGGGAAGGAATTCCAGAGAGATGAGGGAAAATGAACACCATCACGATGACATTATGGAAACCATTTCTAAATGCTCTTTTCGACCATTCTCATGAACTCTCCTCAGAAAAGTTCAGGAGTGGAGTGGAAATAGGAACACATCAGATAATTCCCCCCAAATTTTTAGCAAGCAAGTCATTGTTTTGGGAAGGCAAGATCTAAAATGTGGTTCCTTGACTACATCTCATGATATTATCAGATGAGTGACAAGGACGAGCCTGTTTTAAGAGAGAAAAAGTGGGATATACTAACAAAAATAAATAATCTACAATATAGAATGAATGCTCAATGTTTTTCTAAGGTCTGTAACCTCCTCTGCCAAAGAATGGTGGTGCCTCATCCAAGCAAAGTAGAGCCCCCAGGTTGTTGTTTATTCATTCAGTCGCTTCTGACTCTCCTTTGTGACCTCCTGGACCAGCTCACACCAGAGCTCCCTGTCGACCGTCACAACCCCCAGCTCCTTCAAGGTCAAGCCAGTCATTTCAAGGATTCCATCCATCCATCTTGCCTTTGGTTGGCCCCTCTTCCTTTTTCCTTCTATTTTCCCTTCATCTTTGCCTCTAATACCCTTCCCTCCAGTTAGCAGTCGGGCGTTACTTTCTGGACTATGGACTGGTTGGATCTTCTTGCGGTCCAAGGCACTTTCAGATTTTTCCTTCAATGCCACAGTTCAAAAGTG